TGCTTTAAACTACACAAATAAAAGCAAACTGTTCCAAATTCAAGTAGGCTGACATGGTCATGACAGCAGCTCAACGTGAACACACAGCCATGATAAATAGGACAGTGTTGAGCATCCTTAAATTGCAAAAATTCTCCTCCACAGCTAAACCATTTCATGACTGACTGATGAAAGGGAGCTATCAAAGCTGAAGAATAATAAAAAAAAAAGCTATTGCTGAAGGATCATTTCGTCCAGCTGGAGGAAGGAGGCAGGGAATGAGGTTATTAGGCTAAGCCTAATCAAGCAAGGAAACCCAAAACCAAAAAACAAACTTTGCAATGCCCTCACTGCTACATACAAAAGAAAGAGGACAGGTCTTGTGAAACATCTTAATGATGTAGTTAGTACTTATGCTAAACAGGCATGCTGTGCAGGCTGCTATTTTACTGCAAATCCCTACTTGTGCAATACTGCTGATTTTCTGTCTCTCCCATAGCACACAGAAAAATTTAGTAAAAGAGTGATTTCAGACAAAAACTTTAAGTACACCAGAAGACCTGCAGAAGATTAAATCATAATCTCATAAAGAGCAAAGAATAGAATAATTTCTAAATCTACCTTCTAGACAAGATGCTAAGTCGGGAGTTTAGCTTTCACTTCAGGCTCAGTAGGAGAAGTTTTGCTGGAACTGTAAAAAAATAGCTTCAAACTGAATAACACAAAGGAGGAAGTACAGACGATCAAAGCTACTTTTCTGATAACACTTCAGACTATTTCTTTCACATTTCTAAGTGTTTCTGTGAAGCTGGGAATGGGGAGCTGGGAATAATAGCAAGTTTAACCACAGCTGACTACAAGCACTGAGTAGTGAGCAGTGGAAAAGCAAAAGAGAACAGCAACTAGCAGATGGTCAGAAAGAAGTCACTCTAAAACTGAGCAGTTTTATAGAGAGGAAAATTAAGCATTTCCACTGCAGTTATGCATAAGCTGGAATGGCCAAAAGTTAACACAGGAAATTATGTACCTGTAACAATTCTAGAAGAAAATGCCAGCATAGATACCCTCTACGGCTATTTCTTTTTCCTAAGAGAGACTGACAAAAACCCCATACCCTTGTCTTTTGTACTGCTCTTTTGCCTAAGTTTCCCCCCAGTTAGGCAGATTTTGCTACTCAGTAGTTAATTATACAAATGTTTTCACCAAAGTTCCTGTGGAACTTACCTGAGAAAACGAATGTTGATGGCTATCAGCTGACCACACTTTAATCAGCACAACTGTAACCATTACAAATTTTAACAAGAAGCACATTTGAGTTTCCCCTATAGACATGAGCCAATTACTGGCTGCCTAACCTCTTTCCTTATTTGGTTAAATAGAGTGCTAGCAAGGTGCTAAAGGGCAGGTCAACCTTGCTGTAGCAGTTTGGATGTAGGACGATCTGATTTGGCACTAATTGATCGTACCAGACCACTTCTCTATGGTTTAAGTTAGAATGATAGCCAGAGTACAGAGAATTTATTCTAGCAAATTTTTACAGGCATTTCCAAAAGGAGTAATAAATGTTCCCCATAGGAGGCTGATCCAGCTGCCCAACATTTGTCCTGTGCTGTTCAGTGTTCCACTTCTCAAAACAAAACAACTCCAGATACTCAGCCACATCTTATGCCCCATTCGGATACCTGCTGCAACACAGCTGATGACATCCAGCTTACTGAGCAAGTGACTAATGAAAAATCTTAGTTTTCCTTTATGCTGATGGTACCCCACAGTTTTTCTTCTCATATGTGGGGGAAAGGGGATGGAGAAGAGCACAGCACATAAAAATGTCCCTGCAGGGATGGGATATTTCCTCAGGGTACTCCTGAAGAAAATGGAATCAACGATACTTTGATTTCTACACTACAAAGCTGGCACTTTCATTAGCATACTGTGTTGGTGGTCTGGTTGACATTTTACAAACACAGACTACAAAAAGTTTCTTGATTTTTGTTTCAACTAAGTCTCGAGGACTCAGTTTACCTATAGCTCTGCTGGTATGAGATGTTGCCTTGTACGGATTTCTCACACTAGGAATGCATCGAGAACAAATTCCCTTGGGGGCACTGTAAAGGATTAGGGAAAGACAAATGGTAATGGTCTCTTCAGAACACTGGAAGGCAGTGGCAAGCAATTTTCCAAGACAGAGCTAATGAAGCTTCAGTCCTGTGAGGAAAGCAGAACAAGGACTCCATGAACTATACAGGGCAAGTAGTTCAGACATAGATCCTTTATGTTCCTATAGAGGGGAAGTTACTGCAGTGCTGTACAGTATACTGCTCCTTTAAGTTTACAGTCTGCTGCACCCTTGGCAGTACTGCATTCAAGAAGCAGGATCCCTGTGCCTGCTGAAATTGAGGAAAAGGAGTAATAGAGCTGAGGTTGGGAGAGCTGGATGGAAGCAACAGAAGCATGTGGGACACAAGGACTTGGGTAGCTGGTGTGGCAGTGTGAAATATGCATCAGCTTAGTAAAAGGATACAGTCTGGAATTCCTAGTTTGAGCATAAAGGTGGAAAGGTATAGGGCACAGGGCTGGGTTTGTGCTTTCTGGCTTGTAGCCATATGAAAATCTTGAATGAAGTTGCTGGAGTTGAGAGTGAAGCTTCTAGAGTGTCCAAGCCTCTGCTATAACTAGTGGGTCTGGTGTTCCTCACTCACTGGAACCACCATTAGAATCTTTTCAACACTCAAACTCACAGAGATTTTCTACTGTTCCCTTCTTCAGGTTCACCTCCAGGGACAGGATGAAAGATGAGGCAGGTGGAAGATTTGGGACTCAAAATGGAACTGTCGGATAAAGTCCAATGGCTTTGCCATGACAAGGACCTGTAGTGCATGGTGGGTTCTAGACATGCTGTAGCAATGAGGGGTTTACAGCAGAGCTTCTAAGCCTGATGTTGGCTGCTG